GTGTTCCTATTTGTGTCCAGAGAGACAAGCGTTTTGGAAGAGGATTATGCATAGGAAAGAGAAAATAACTCTATGAAATGTTACGCAGGCGTTCTGTGTGTTTTGTGATGTATATTTATCAAAAGCCATACGACTCTGATTAATACATTTGAAATTAAGTTAGAAGAGAAATGATCTTTTTGATAAACACTCGTATCACTCTCAGATTAATATATCAGACATATCACATTTACCTCGCACAAGCGGTTGCTGGCTATCTCCAACCATTCTTATCTATCTATCTATCTATCTATCTATCTATCTATCTATCTATCTATCTATCTATCTCTTTCTTGCTTTCACATTCTCTTCCTGTATATCCAGCTTCGTATGCATTCATCTTTTTCATCATATTCTATTAATGTATATCCTCAATATAGCATTTCTGGCTTTGAATTACATCATTGCCATCCATCACAGTTTGTTCGTATCTATCTATCTATCTATCTATCTATCTATCTATCTATCTATCTATCTATCACAATCCATCTCTCTATCTACCTATTTCAATCCATTCCCATCTGTCTGTCTATCTATCTATCTATCTATCTATCTATCTATCTATCTATCTATCTCAATGCAATCCCAGTTATCAATCTTTCCATTCCCATCTATCTATCTCAATCCATTCTCATCTATCTATCTCAATCTATTCCTATCTATATATCTATCTATCTATCTATCTATCTCAATCCATTCTCATGTATCACAATCCATTTCTATATTTCTATCTACCTAATTCAATCTATTCCAATCTGTCTGTCTGTCTATCTATCTATCTATCTATCTATCTCAATCCATTCCCATCTATCTATCTATCTATCTATCTATCTCATTTTGTTTTCGTATCTCTCTTTACCTATGCATTCATCGTTCTGTAATATTATGTTATATATATCTATCTGTCTATGAGATAACAATATATATTTTTATATATCAAAAACTATATTGGGAAAATGTATCACAAAGTGGAAAAAATTTTATTTTCTGGCGCGATGAAGTCCTAAAGAACGAAACCCATCACAAGAAAACTTTTTCTATTTTGCAATCTATCTATCTATCTATCTATCTATCTATCTATCTATCTATCTATCTCTTTCTTGCTTTCACATTCTCTTCCAGTATATCCAGCTTCGTATGTATTCATCTTTTTCATCATATCCTATTAATGGATATCCTCAATATAGAATTTCTGGCTTTGACTTACATCATTGCCATCTATCACAGTTTGTTCATATCTATCTATCTATCTATCTATCTATCTATCTATCTATCTATCTATCTATCTATCTATCTACCACAATCCATTACCATCTATCTATCTATCTCAATCCATTCCTATCTATCTATCTATCTATCTATCTATCTATCTATCACAATCCATCTCTCTATCTACCTATTTCAATCCATTCCCATCTGTCTGTCTATCTATCGATCTATGTATGTATCTATCTATGTATCTATCTATCTATCTCAATGCAATCCCATTTATCTATCTATCCATTACCATCTATCTATCTCAATCTATTCCTATCTATCTATCTATCTCAATCCATTCTCATCTATCACAATCCATTTCTATCTACCTAATTCAATCTATTCCCATCTGTCTGTCTGTCTGTCTATCTATCTATCTATCTATCTCAATCCATTCTTATCTATCTATCTATCTATCTATCTATCTATCTCTTGCTTTCACATTCTCTTCCAGTATATCCAGCTTCGTATGTATTCATCTTTTTCATCATATCCTATTAATGGATATCCTCAATATAGAATTTCTGGCTTTGCTTTACATCATTGCCATCTATCACAGTTTGTTCATATCTATCTATCTATCTATCTATCTATCTATCTATCTATCTATCTATCTTATTTTGTTCTCCTATATCTCTTTACTTAAGTATTCAGCGTTCAGTCATGCTATGTTAAGTATGTTGTTCATATCTATCTATCTATCTATCTATCTATCTATTTATATATATATATATATATATATATAATCCAGTGTTCTTATAAATATTTTTATTTTTTACAAAATAGTGCTCGATGTAAATTTATTAATATATATATATATATATATATATATATATATATATATATATGCAATCCATTACAATCTATCACAGATGGTTCATATCTATCTATCTATCTATCTATCTATCTATCTATCTATCTATCTATGCTAGGCTATTTCCTTTTGTCTATCTATCTATCTATCTATCTATCTATCTATCTATCTATCTATCTATCTATTTCTTTCTTTCACATCCTCTTCCTTTATATCCAGCTCCCTATGAATTCATCTTTTTTGTCATGTTCTATTAATGGATATCCTCAACATAGCATTTCTGGCGTTACCTTACATCTACATAAAACAAGCAATGGCAAAACACCAGATATGTTTGCCTCGGAAGAGATCCACACATCGGGAGCGTTAAATTCGCTTTTCTCTCTTTGAAAATAGCCACCATTTTCTTTTCGGATATCGCTTCATAAGAAAGCAAGAAGCTCCCTCTGTAATGGCGGCGATAACATCACTTGAAAAGAAACCTGCTCAACTGTCCGTGACAAAAGAAACGGATATTTAAAGACCGGAACGAAATCTCCATAACGGATTGGAATTAAATACGGCTGTAGATCTACACGCTTAGAGGATGTTTAAAATGAATCAAAAAAAGAAGCGGATATCCGCTTGAACCTTTTTCGAGCCATGTATCTTGTGTAAAAACGAATTCTAAATAAATTCTCCCACCGACAGCGGCACCCGCTTCTGCCACCTTTTTCATCTCACCTTTTTCTTCCACGATATGTGGAGGGAAACAATTATTCAAAATTTTAAGTTATTGTATTTCCAACTAATGAATAATCATAATTTTCATATAATGAACTGTACAGAGATGCATAATAACTAAATCTGCATAGAAAACAGAAGAAAAAAAATGATTTAATACAAATAAATCCCATTTATCCATTTTAATGGGTGAAAAAATTATTCGTACAATACAAATTGATTTAATACTCTGTATTATTACAGTGGAATATTTGTAGGAGTTAACTTCTCCTTCAGTTCGTAACCCTTTCACCAGGGGTCACTCTTCGCTGCTATAAATAGCCGCTGACCCTTCGCCTCTATCTCTTTTTTCCTCAGGCCTGTGCGCCGACACCTTGAGGTAAATCTCTCTTTTTCCTCAGGCTTCCAGCCTTACCACCTCAAAAATGTGAACGCTCACCAGAGATAGCGTTTCCTAAAAATGCTGGGAACACGCTAAGCAATACACACACAAACGCACATATAATATTCACACACACTTTGTCCTTTTGTAACTGTTTCTATGTAACCTGTTATTAATATATATGTTGTATACATATATTATCGGTCTTGTGTTTTGTTTGTTTTCTTTGCATTCTTTGGACTTAATTAATAGTCCAACCTTTTCATGTAGTTGGACCGGCTGGCAGGAAAATCTGAACCCACATGTGTTTCTTCTACTTCTACTCAACAACATTACAGCTACGGTCCACTACATATTCTAGAGATGTTTCAATAATATTATCAGTGATTATTTTAGCATAAAAAAACAGAATATTCTGTAATTGGTAATAATGTACGACTGTTATCATCATCGCAAGAGGTAAAGAATTGACAAATTCGCAAATTGAACTGATTGTTAAGCTATGAAAAGAAGATAAAAGTTACAGGAAAATCTCAGACAACCTCAGTATTCCATTTACTACGATGATTTTATTCATTGCAAGTTATAAAAAAAGAAAAAACTCTATTGAAAACCAGAGACAACAGCTGCTCCACGGAAGATTGCTTCAGGATCTTCGAGGAAATTAATGCGTCAAATTAAACAAAATTCAATGGTTGCTCGTCAAGAGTTGCAGGATGATTTTCTTTCATCAGAAATCTCTGTCACTAAACGGACAATAAGCAATAAAATTCATAAGAAAACAACACTCCTATTAAAAAGGCACAGGAATGCAAGATTGAAAAACGTTCGTGAATATAAAGAGACGAAAAAATCGTTTTGGGAAAGAGTATTATGGACAGAGGAAACGAAAATTGAGTTGTGTGGACGGAATTCTAGAAATCATGTAAGGAAGAAAGAACACAGTTCTAACAGTGAAAATCGGTGGTGGCAGCATCATGGTTTGGGGGATGTTTTTTCTGCAAAAGGTACTGGCAACATATCAGTAATAGATGGTAGAATAGCATACCAAAATATTTTGGAAGCAAATTTAAGGATTTCTGTTAAAGATTTTGAATTTCTTCCTGGTTGGATCTTCCAACACAATAATGATCCTAAGCACACTGCAAAATCTACGAATAAATGGCTTGTTGAAAATAATGTAAATATCCTGAAATTGCTTAGTCAATGCCCAGATTTTAGCCCAATCGAGAATCTGTGGCGTTTATTTTTTAATTCAAATCCAATCGAGAGCTAAAGATCATATCCGAAGAAGAATGCAACAAAATGCAAACTAAAATTTGCAAATGATTAAATGAGAAATACAAGAAGAAATTGATTGATTTATCAAGTCATCCCATAAGTTCTGTCCGAATTTTAACTTTTTGTTAAAATGAACGAAATTTAAAGAGTATTTTATGATGTCTAATGAAGCTGAACATTATTTATATGTTTAGATCCATTTAAACTGATCAAATTTTATTTCAGAGAACAATAAAATTAAATTTTGTTTGATTAAAACTCTGCTAACATGGAAGTACCAAAGAATCATTTGATAACATAATGCTTCATGAGTTCAAGAAAGGAAACTCAGCAGCCGAAGCGGCTAGAAACATTCACTCAGTTTATGGAGAGGAATGTGTGAATGAAACAACTTGCAGAAGATGGTTTGCAAAATTCAGCGGTGGGGATTTCAACCTTGAAGATGAAGATCGAACCGGATGTCCAATTGAGTTTGATGAAAAGCTTCTTGAAGCAGCTTTTGAAGAAAATCTTGCTTTATCAGTTGAGGAATTGGCAGTGGTTCTCACTTCAAACCATACAACTGTTCATCGTCATCTTCAACAACTTGGAAAAGTTCCTAAACTTGGAAAATGGGTGCCTCAAGAATTGTCTGAAAACAACCTCAAATCCCGAGTTGACATCTGCTCTTCTCTCCATTCTCGCCAACTTGTTTAACCTTTTTTGGATAGACTTGTGACTGGCGACGAAAAATGGATCTTTTATCGAAATGTTAAGAGTCGTAGACAGTGGCTGGGTAAAGGAGAAGGACCCCAGCCACAGCCGAGAAGGGACTTCATGGGCAAAAGTTTTTCTTTCAATCTGGTGGGATCGCCAAGGAATAATCCACTTTGAATTCTTACCACCTAATGCAACAATTAATGCTCAAATATGCTGTCAGCAATTAGAGCGTTTGAACTAAGCTTTGAGGAAAAAAAGAACTGCTCTAGTGAATCGAAAAGAGGTAATGTTTCATCAGGACAACTCGCGAGCCCACATAGCAAGAATCACGTCACAAAAGATCGAAGAACTTGGTTGGGAGAAAATTCCTCATCCACCTTATTCTCCCGATCTTGTTTCTTCAGACTACCATTTGTTTTGTAGCTTACAGAATCATTTGGAAGAAACAGCTTTCGTAATCAAAGCCAAAAGAATTTTACAGTAATGGAATTAGTACGTTTGTTAATAGATGGAAGGAAATCATAGATAATCAGGGAAAATACACTATTGATTGAATCTGTAATTAAATGTAACATTTGGTCACTTGTTTTCTTTATTCAAAATTCGGACAGAACTTATGCGATGACCTGATACTAGTGAATATTGGCTCTTCTAATTATTAAATGAAGATTTTTTGTCTTTTACGAATATCTTTTTCATGTACGAATAGTTCTTTCACCCATTAAAATGTATAAATTACATTTATTTCTATTACATCAATTTGTTTCTGTTTTCTATGCATATTTAGTTATACGTCTGTGTACAGTCAATTATGCAAAAAGTATGTTTATTCATTAGTTGGAAATACAATATATTAAAAATTTGTATCTGTACGAATATTGGCTTTCCATCAGTCTATATATCTTTTGAACAAAATTATAAGATTGATCCTATGTTTCCTGTTTAGGATTAGTCTTCTGCTTCCTGCTTAAGTCTTTCCCTTCTCTTACACTTTTGAAATAGTATGAATTTTGCTCGTCTGAATTCCCTGCTGATGTCTTGAAATGATAAACTTTCAATAAAGCCAACGTCTATTGAAACACAAGCTCCTTTCCCAAATTCAAGTAGAACTCATATAAGATAAAGATGCAGAAAAATGGCTGGTTTCTTTTACAGCTCCATAACGCACCTGGCTTCATCTGTTATGCTACATCATTACAAGTTTCATGAAGACTTGTGACTAAAGAATCATTTTCAAACTTAAAATACCTTTGCCGCAGGCAAATTTCTGATTGCTTCCCGCGAAACTGTCGCTATTTTCGATTCAAATGTTTATATAGACGAGCATTTAGTACCATTTGATGCTTACACAAGGTAGGCTCATTCTTAAACACCCTACATTGTAAAGAGGGACTAACTCTCTTAGTGGTGCATCGATATATATATATATATATATATATATATATATATATATATATATATATATATATATATAAATTCCAAAAGGATAGAATCCAGGTAGAACTAAATGTCAGGACAGGGTAAAATATATATATATATATATATATATATATATATATATATATATACACATTTCATTAAATAATATAGACAAGTGTTGTCTATTTATTTTATGTAAATTTTTTTCGTAACATCTGATTAATTTAATAACATTATCGTTGAACGAAGAAAGAAATTCACAATATTGATCCATTTTTTTTTTAATATAATCTAAGCTTTCGGCTTACTTAAGCCATTATCAAAGACGTAAATTACAACATATTAAACAATATAAGGACACGATAGTGATGATAGTCTGTTATTGTTAAGTTTACATAGATGATCTCGAAGCAACGATAAACACGCGCATATATACGCTAGAAGCGAAAACCGCACCACATCTCATGACGTCAGACATGACCACGCGAGAGTGAATTGGAGAATGAAATATGGAAAGCCATTGGTATAAACCAATGGCTTCTGTTACCAATTATAGGCATTTAAGAATATTTGTAGAGATGCCATAATTGATTTTGTTTAGGTTACATACATACATACATACATATATATATATATATATATATATATATATATATATATATATATATATATATATATATAAATTTCTAGGAGTTAACTTGAAAAAATACAATATTTATATATATAAAAGACAATAGAACAACTGTAATAGTAGCCGACGCGTTTCGTCCAATGTGGACTTTTTCATGCGAAATGAATTTATTGAAACAACAAAGTAACTAATAATAACAAAACAAAATGTCCTTAGCAACTGGAAGAATTTAGAAAACGCTATTATATTCATATT